CTACACGGCAGAAAGCTACATCTCATGTCCAGTTTGTTCGTGTTAACCCTGAAGATGGGGGCACAGTTACCGCTTTGGTTAACATCACCCAGCAACTGGCTCAACAATTAGCTGACGTCCAGCGACAGTTAGCCATGCTAACGGCCAGCCAGTCAAAGACCAGTGCTATCCCCAAGACTTCCACCTACAGTAAGCAGAGGCGGACAGAGTACAGAGCTTTGTTACTTGAGTAAAAGAACAGATACCCCTTGTTAAATTTTACTCAAGTACAAGTAAAAGTACTACAGTCAGATGTCTACTTAAGTAAAAGTACTAAAGTACTTGTTTTTAAAAGTACTTGAGTATCAAGAGTACAAGAGTAGATTTTCTAAATATTGCATTACTAATCTACTGCCACAGTGCTTACATTTATGCACAGAAACGTCCTACATGGAGTTATGAAAAATGTTAATGTTAATACCTTGGAGAATGTAAAAGGAATTGAAAGTAAAATCAAGTCATTTTCATCTTTTTACCATGTTGCTTTATTTAATTTAATTTAATTTTTGGGGGGTCCCATCTTTAAATGCGGGGACAACACACACACACACACACACACACACACACACCACACGTAAGGGTGGCGCTGCCAATAAAGCACCTAAAAGCTGTCACAAAGAACCGGCAAAAGGAATGATTATGAATATGTAAAATATAGCAAGGAGATATTTTAATTGTTTATTAATAAACACTTGTTAATAAACAAGTGTTTTCTTTGTCAGTGTCGGCTAGATGAAGTTGACGATCCTGACTCGCAATCTTCAGTAGTGAACGCGCCAGAGAGAAATGCACATTTCATACGGATTACATAAGCAGAGAGTAGTCTGCAGTCTGTTTTCTTTCATTTTTATTTTTTCTGTTTAAAAGTAGACATGTCTGTGAGAGGCAAGTAGGCTACCTTATACACTGAGTTTCGGTTCATTTATGAGACGAGATCCAGTTCACATGCCGGCGCCTCCGTTTCTTATCTATCGTCTGCTATTTACTTCTTATTTATTAAACCCAGGCAATTGGTTGATGAAACATTGATTAAAATTAAGATACAATTAATGCAAAACGAAATTCAGGTTAAAGAAAGGTTTTGTGTTTTCTGTTTGAGGTCTCTGTGAAAGTTTTAAAGCATTTTTTATGCCGCTTTCAGAGTGCTCACGTCCGTAACGGAGAACACGTCCATAATATTGTTTTTTCCTCATAAATGCAAACCCGAAAAATAAAATAAAACAAAATTAATATTTATGTACTGTGGAGACTGAGCGCCAACCCTTCTTCATTCGCTGGGTAGTAGCCTACTTTGGTTTGCGCAGTGTAATTCACATAATCAGTAAAAATATATTTTGGCTCCTAAAGTTTTTTTTTTAAGAAATCAGAAATCCCTCGTGTACGCCACTGCCACATTTGAACCTGACTGTGTTAAACACACCACATACTCAAGAACATCAAACCAATTGCTTGGCTTACATTAATGTGTAATATAAAATCTGACCATGGAGTTGACTTTGGCGGAAAGCTGAAAGTTATTGCTGATAGGCTGTCCCTATCAGTGGCGCCTGCACAATCCAATCACGTTTGAGAGGGAAACAACAAATTGAGGGTTTCCGAGATTATTCTTTTTTTTTTTTTTTTTTTTTTTTTTTTTACTCGGGTACTCGCGGTTATGGATAGAAATGTATTGGAGTAAAGAGTACAATATTTGCCTCTCAAATGTACTTGAGTAAAGTCATGAGTACTCCCCAAAAATGATACTCGAGTAAAGTACAGATCCCTCAAAATTGTACTTAAGTACTGTACTCAAGTAAATGTACTCCGTTACTGTCCGGCTCTGACAGTAAGCCACATGCCAGGACCACCAATCAGCAGCCTTGTCGATCCACACCGGCCACATCCGTCCTCAGTGTGAGAATGAACCCAATTCTATTTTGGTTGCTCGTAAAAGGAAGCAGTTCACTAGCAACCAACAAAACACACCCAACTCTGTCCATTTAAACTGAGTCCGGTTCCTGTTGTGGGACCAAATCCGTCCCAAGGAAAGAAAGAAGATTGTCGAGTGTGCAGAAATGTCACAGCCCAAGATAAAGAAAGCAACCATACAGCTTCCAAAGGGCCTGGTGGGCTCAAAATGTTCTGCAGTCGTCCAGATTGCTGGGCAGAACTACCATTGCCTTTTGGATACTGGCTCGCAGGTCACCACAATTCAAGTCTCTTTTTACAACCAGAGTCTCAGCAATTACCCTGTGAAGCCACTTTACAACTTACTACAGAGTTTTCTCATCACACTTCCAATTCATGCTCCCTACAAGGTTCCTGTTCTTGTTATGAACGAGTCTGAACAAGATGTTCTCATTCCACCATTGATAGTAATTGCTGATATTGGTACATCACCTATCATCCTGGCCCAGCACACCGTAACCACTTCCCCAGTCCAAGGAGGTTCCCATCCAAGCTCAATAAAATGCCTGAAGTGTTTTCTTGCCACGACCTTGATTTCGGCTGTACGGACCAGGTAAACACCATATCAAGCTTTACGATGAAACCTCTTTCAAGCTTCGAGCTAGGCCTATCCATCCCCGCGATATTGAAGCTGTTCGAAGCCATTTGCGGGATCTGCTTGAAGCTGACATCATCCGGGAGTCAGAGTCACCGTTTGCTTCTCCAATTGTGGTGGTCCGGAAGCGGAATGGCAATGTTAGGTTGTGCATTGATTATCGTAAATTAATTTTGCAAACAGTGAAAGAAGCCTATGCCCTGCCGAACCTTGAAGAGTCGTTTTCAGCATTAACAGGCTCCAGATGGTTCACGGTTTTGGATCTAAAATCTGGATATTATCAGATTCAAATGAGTGAAGCCGATAAGGCTACAACCGCCTTTGTTACACCGCTGGGATTCTGGGAATAGAATCAGATGCCGCAAGGCGTTACGAATGCTCCAAGTACATTCCAGAGACTTATGGAGAAGTGTATGGGGGATTTAAATCTCAAGGAAACTCTTGTATTTCTAGATGACATCATTATATTCTCTGACACTTTAGAGGAACATGAGAAGCGCTTACTCAGAGTACTTACCCGACTGAAGGAATTCGGCTTGAAGCTGTCCCCTTGAAAAATGCAAATTTTTCCAGTCCAGTGTATGTTTCCTTGGACATGTCGTGTCCGAGAAGGGCGTTGAAACGGACCCTGGAAAAATATCCACCCTCAAATCCTGGCCAGTCCCTCGAGATCTTAAAGAGCTACGGTCTTTCCTAGGGTTTGCAGGATACTATCGGAGGTTTATCAAAGATTATGCCACCAAAGTGAAACCCCTCAATGGCCTTACTAGGGGCTATGCACCCATCCGTCGGCCTATCAAAGACAAAAGTCCTACTGGAAAGTTCCTGGACCCAAAGCAGTCCTTTGGGGAGAGATGGACGTCTGATTGTCAAGCTGCTTTTAACACCTTAATTTCTAAGCTAACATCTGCTCCTGTTCTAGGGTTTGCCAATCCGAAGTTGCCCTACATCCTTCACACAGATGGCAGCATAATCGGATTGGGAGCCGTTCTATACCAAGAACAGGATGATCAACTCCGGGTTATCGCCTATGCCAGCCGAGGCCTATCTCAGAGTGAGTCTCGATATCCGGCACACAAACTTGAGTTTCTGGCCTTAAAATGGAGTGTCACAGACAAATTTCATGATTATCTCTATGGTGGTGACTTCACAATTGTTACGGAAAATAATCCTCTTACATACGTTTTGACCTCAGCAAAATTGGATGCCACAAGCCACCAGTGGCTAGCTGCGTTGTCAACGTATTCCTTTAAGATGCAGTACCGTGCTGGCAAACACAACTTTGATGCCGATGCTCTGTCCAGACGTTACCATGGAGAAGTGCCAGATAAGGCTACAAGCTGTGAAGAATGGGAACTTGTGAACCACCTAGCGGAGCGACTGTGTGACCCTGGTGAAGCTGCAGAAATCTCCCCCGACATTGTGGTTGCTATTTGTCAGAGCAGTCTTGTCAGATCATGCTGTCCTGCTGACTACACTCAGCTTGATATGACCTTAGTTGAGTCTCTTTCTGTCCATACTAATATTATTCCTGACTGTTTTGCCGAGGCAGAATCACATGGCCTTCCTGTCATTTCCTCTCTGACCCATGCTGACCTGAAAGAAGAGCAGCGTGCCGACCCAGCAATTCGAGAAGTCATCTACCAGCTTGAGACGGGAGAAAGGTTTCTTCCACTGTTCGAGAGGAACTTCCTGAGCTCCCATTGTTGTTACGGGAGTGGAATCGGTTAGAGCTGGAAGATGGAGTTTTATACAGGAGAAGACAGGACGAAGATAAAATTGTCCTTCAGCTTGTTCTGCCCCCAGTGTTGCGTTCTACCGTCCTGAAGATGCTCCATAGTGACATGGGGCACATGGGCATAGAGCGAACCCTGGACTTGGTGCGGCAGCGGTTCTTCTGGCTATGTGCACGTGTAAATATTGTAAATGCTCGTTGTCTTATTTATGTAATACAATTCACAATTGCACTGCAGCCTTGAGTCTGTGTTCATTGAACTCTACCTTTTCCTCCTTGAGCTGAACTAAGATTTTCTGATACTGGTCCACTATTTTTACATACAATTGCAGCACTTATATGCTACAGGAGATTTTGAGAAATATTAGTAAATCAGTCAGAGACCTCACAACTTTGACACTGAATGAAGAAATAGATTTAGCTCAAAACTAACTCAAATTGATAATAATGTGTTTATAGTCCCTGCACAGGAGATACTTTGTGTTCTTTCCAAACAAAGGATCAAATATATATATGTATTGGTACTGGCCAAAATACAGTATGATGAGAAATATCAGCATATCGAGTATCAGCAAAAACCCAATATGTGCATCTCTAGTGTTCAGTGACGTATGAAGAGCAGAGGATTGAACTATTATTCAGTCTGGAGAAATCCTTCACTAACACACAGTATATTTCACTCACCCGGGTGTGTGTGTGTCACTGTTGTTTCTCTCAGGACGCTGTTTAATGTCACACAGAGACACTGAAGACTCATCATAAACCCCAAATCCAGCATAGAGGGGTTCAGTGAATGTGGTGTAGAGTGTGTGTAAGTGTGTGAGTGTGTGTGTGTCAGAGACGCTGTAGAAGGACAGAGTGCCGGCCGACACGTCCACACACACTCCTACTCTCTTACAGGATGAAGAGACGACAGGAATATCAGTGCGGTTATCATTGTGCCAGACAGAGAATCTGTTATCAGAGCAGTCCAGACTCCAGGATTTATCATTCCATCCAAACATACAGTCTTTACTCCCTCCTTTCCTGCTGATTCCTTTATATGACACTGATATCTCAGCATCTCTCCCGCTCCATTCAGCCTCCCAGTAACAGCGTCCAGTCAGACTCTCTCCACACAGAACCTGAAGAACCTCATTAAATCTCTCTGAAAGATCAGGATACGACTGAGGCTCTTTCACACGCGTCACTGTCCTGTTCTCATCAGACAGAATGAGTCGAGTGTGTGCTGTGTGTGGATCCAGTGTGAGATCACAGGCGTCTGAACACAAGAAGAGAGAAACATTTCACTAAATGACACAAATCAACAACAAATCACTGAATGAGTGTGTGTGTAGACCTACATTTGTGTATTCCTGCTGTAATCCTGAACTCTCCACAATGATCCACACTATAAAACACAAACATGATTCATATTCATTTACTAAAGGAAAGACAAGAAAGAACACACACACACACGCACGCACGCACACACACACACACACACACACACACACACACACACACACACACACACACACACACACACACACACACACACACATGTTGTGTTTTCATGTTTTATGGGGACTTTCCATAGTCATAATGATTTTTATACTGTACAGACTGTATATTCTATTCCCTTACACTAACCCTATCCCTAAACCTACCCATCACAGGAAACATTCTGCATTTTTACATTTTCAAACAACATCACTTAGTATGATTTATAAGCTGATTTCCTCATGGGGACCAAAAAATGTCCCCACACGAACAAGGATTTCGGATATTGCCATCTTTGTGGGGACATTTTGTCCCCATAACGTAGGGTTTACCAGGCCACACACACACACACACACACACACACACACACACACACACACACACACACACACACACACACACACACACACACACACACACACACACACACACATCATCTGTCCTGTAAAATATGAGATTTGTCCAGTATTTTAAAATCATTTTCACAATCAGTAGTAGAGAAGCTGGTTTGCGCATGATTGTGTTTTAGCGTTTGTTTCCATAGCGACGGAGTCTGGAGAACATGCGCTGTAAACCTGCTGTTCATTTGACACACACACACACACACACACACACACACACACACACACACACACTGATGCTCAGACTGTCTGATGTAAAGCACATCTACACACACACACGCGCGCACACACACACACACACACACACAGTCTGATGTCAAGCACATCTACACACACACACAAACACACACACACGCTGTAAACCTGCTGTTAATTTGCTCAGACTGTCTGATGTAAAGCACATCTACACACACACACACGCGCGCTGTAAACCTGCTGTTCATTTGCTCAGACTGTCTGATGTAAAGCACATCTACATACACACACACTCTCACACACACACACACACACACACAAACACAAACACACACACTGTAAACCTGCTGTTAATTTGCTCAGACTGTCTGATGTAAAGCACATCTACACACACACACACACACACACACACACACGCACACACACACACACTGTAAACTTGCTGTTCATTTGCTCAGACTGTCTGATGATAAGCACATCTACACACACTCACACTCACACACACACGCTGATGCTCAGACTGTCTGATGTAAAGCACATCTACACACACACACACACACACACATCTGATGTAAAGCACATCTACACACACACACACTCACACACACACGCTGATGCTCAGACTGTCTGATGTAAAGCACATCTACACACACACACACACTCACAGACACACACACACACACATGATGAACTGGATAATGCACTTTCCCCTCAGATGCGCTCATATCAAACTACTGTAGGCTATATTGATAAACAATAGTTGTCTCTCATTCCATATTGTTTATTAAAAACATATCGATATATCGTACAAACTCGTATTGGCTCTAGTGTGAATATGTGCGTTTATGCTCAGCAAGAAATGAAAGAGTTTACTATGCTCTGAGATGCGCCGATCACACACACACACACACACACACAGGGAACAGGGAACAAGGAACAGGAACAACAATATGGCACGATGACAGAGACTGACAACCAACAGGAGACACAATGGCGCCTCTAGTGGACAGAAATAACTCTATAACCCTGACACATTTCTATTCTAAAACTATGGAAGCATATGGGTAGCAATATTCAATTTGAAATGTAATATGCAACACAACTTAAGCCCCGCCTTGATGCAGTGATTGACAGGGCAGGAGGGGGCGTGATCGTCTCGGAATGCATTTTCAATGTGCACATTTAATTTTGCTACATTCATTGCGGGACATTTCATGAAAGTCCAATCGCAAGTGTCTTGACTGTGAGTGTAATGCAATTAAGAAAAATAACATTTGAATGATCATTTTGCCACAGTTTTTGCTTGAACATGCTACACATATCTAATCACTTCTGTAATGCATTTTCATTTTAATTTTGCAACTTATAAAGCGTTTCAATATGCATATTAAAAAAACTAGTGTATGAAATGGCAAATGTAAATTATGTAATTTCATTTTCATTTTGCACCAAACTTGCTAGAATGGTAATGTAAAATGTAAATTTAAATACATGCAATGCCATTTTACATATTGCATTGTCATTTTGCATATTACATTTCAAATTGAATATTGCTACCTAAAACACTGTCAAATATGAAATGTTTAGTTCACTTACACTACCAGTCTAAAGTTATGGATCGATAAGATTATTGATGTTTTTAAAAGAAGTCTCTTCTGCTCACCAAGGCTGCATTTATTTGATTAAAAATAAAAAATAGTAATATAGTTAAATATTATGACAATTTACAATAACAGTTTTCTTTTTAAATATCTAGTAAAGTGTAATTTATTCCTGTGATCAAAGCTGAATTTTCAGCATCATTACTCCAGTCTTCAGTGTCACATGATCCTTCAGAAATCACTCTAATATGAGGATCTGATGATCAAGAAACATTTATGATTATTATCTCTGTCATCATGTCATATTGTTGTTCCCTGTGTGTGTGTGTGTGAGTGTGTGTTGACTGACGGACAGATACTGCCGCTGTTTAATGTGTGTGAGATGTAGAGCAGTGTGTGTGTGTGTGTGTGTGTGTGTGTGTGTGTGTGTGTGTGCGTGTGTGTGCTGACTGACGGACAGATACTGGCACTGTTTAATGTGTGTGAGATGTAGAGCAGTGTGTGTGTGTGTGCGTGTGTGTGCTGACTGACGGACAGATACTGGCACTGTTTAATGTGTGTGAGATGTGGAGCAGTGTGTGTGTGTGTGTGTGTGTGTGTGTGTGTGTGTGTGTGTGTGTGTGTGTGTGCTGACTGACGGACAGATACTGGCACTGTTTAATGTGTGTGAGATGTGGAGCAGTGCGTGTGTGTGTGTGTGTGTGTGTGTGCTGACTGACGGACAGATACTGCCGCTGTTTAATGTGTGTGAGATGTAGAGCAGTGTGTGTGTGAGATGTAGAGCAGTGTGTGTGTGTGTGTGTGTGTGTGTGTGCTGACTGACGGACAGATACTGGTGCTGTTTAATGTGTGTGAGATGTAGAGCTGTGTGTGTGTGTGTGTGTGTGCGTGTGTGTGCTGACTGACGGACAGATACTGCCGCTGTTTAATGTGTGTGAGATGTAGAGCAGTGTGTGTGTGTGTGTGTGTGTGTGCTGACTGACGGACAGATACTGGCGCTGTTTAATGTGTGTGAGATGTGGAGCAGTGTGTGTGTGTGTGTGTGTGTGTGTGTGTGCTGACTGACGGACAGATACTGGTGCTGTTTAATGTGTGTGAGATGTAGAGCAGTGTGTGTGTGTGTGTGTGTGTGTGTGTGAGAGATGTAGAGCAGTGTGTGTGTGTGTGTGTGTGTGTGTGTGTGTGTGTGAGATGTAGAGCAGTGTGTGTGTGTGTGTGTGTGTGTGTGTGTGTGTTCTGACTGACGGACAGATACTGCCGCTGTTTAATGTGTGTGAGATGTGGAGCAGTGTGTGTGTGTGTGTGTGTGTGTGTGTGTGCTGACTGACGGACAGATACTGGTGCTGTTTAATGTGTGTGAGATGTAAAGCAGTGTGTGTGTGTGTGTGTGTGTGTGTGTGTGAGAGATGTAGAGCTTTCCTCAGCGCAGAACTTACATTTCACTATTATATTCTCCATTTTAAATGTTCACTCGTGCAAATGTTTCCGCTGTCAGGAGAGAATCTCCGCTAAACTTGACAGATTTACATGAACGAGCGCCAAATACATGTATTAATGTTTTTTTTATATATAATTTAATTTATTTATGTACGTTTTTGTGCACTACAACTTTATGTGACAGTCTACATTTTTAATGACCTGTTTTGTGTATTTAATATTTAACGTATATATATCTTTTTTATTATATACTGATATACTGAATAAGTGCACTAATTGGAGAGGCTTGTGTTGTTCAAAAAATGTTTGATTAAAGCAATTTTCTTTATTACTTCTTATTAATATAAAGTTCCCTTTCGAGGGAACTTAACACTGCGTCGAGAATCGACTCTTTGGGGACGCTCCCTTAGCGTGCGCCTCTGAAGTATGAATGAAACTATTCCAATCCTGATTGGTGTTGCGTCATGACGTAACATGTGACGGCATAACCGGATGCATAAAAGCTACGCCGGAACAAACACAAACTAGCTTTCGCTCTTCAGCAAGCGCTCTGTGTTGAAAACTGTCTGTCTTATTTGGTGTTGTTTGTCAGAAAATATTGTATATTATGGTCAGCGAACAATTCAAAGCTTGTGTGCCTCCCTGCCCTCGTTTCATCACGGGTGGGGACACACATGCTTTGTGTGTGAGTTGTTTGGGAGCGCAGCATGCACGGGCAGCTCTCGAGGGAGCTGCTTGTGTAGACTGTGAAGCACTTCCCATTAGAGTGCTGCGCTCCCGGCTGGCGTGCTTTGATGGGCACGGTCAGGCTCGCGTTCCCCATGGTTCTGGTCCCGCGTCCGTTGAGGCGGCGCGGCGATTGAGATCGTGGGGTTCGCAGCGGGATCTTGTGGATGAGATTGAGACTGCTGAGGCACCTTCTCACTCTTAATCCGAGGATCTCGTAGCCTCTGAGAGTGGTGCAGGAGCCCGCATCGCGGCTTCTCCTGCCCATGATCAGGTCCCGATGCTTGAGCTCTCTGCTTCCGAGGAAGTAGATGTGCTCAGCATCGATGCGGATGACCGTGATCTAGGCGCGCCAGTTCACGGCCAAGGTTATGAGGAGCTGGTGGAGGTTGTGACTCGTGCTGTGGCCAGACTTAACATCAGCTGGCCACATGATGAGCAGGGAATGCAAGTGAGAAGCAAGCTTGATGAGCGTTTCCTGCAGCACAGATCGCAACCTCAGCCCCGGGGTTTGCCGTTTTTCCCCGATCTCCACAAAGAGATTTCGA